ATCATATTTATAGAGAAATTTCGATTTTGGTAGGTGGTTAACTTAGTAGTTAAACAGATGCAAAAAATGGATGCAAAAGAATTAATCGTAATCTGGTAGCACTTTTACAACCAATTTACAACCAAATAGTAGTTAATTGGTTGTAAACTTAATTAGATGTATATTAGTCGTACATTTACAACCAATGAGTGGCAATTTTTGGAGTTGTGATCCCAATGTCTTCTTTTCTCTTTTTTCTTAAATTTTTAAACTCTTCGACTCAATTATCAACTCTCTTTATTAATACTAGGGCTATTCACCGCGCTACGCGCGGTTTATATATTTTAAATTGTTAATTTAATATTTTAATAAATATGTGTTATATTGTTTGAGTTTGTATTTTTTACCAGTAAAATAATATTTATTTTTATTTTATATTTATTTTACAGTAAACTTAGAGTATGATTTGTTAATTATTTTACTTTATAACATATATGTTTAGACAATACACAGTAAAAATTATTCTTTTAAAACCAATAAAATAAGTAGCTTTGATGTTATGTTTTTCATCCCACTCATCAATTTTTGTTCACCTTATACGTTGTATTGATGTAAATTTTTTATTTGTTTTTGTTAATTTTCATCTGAAACTCCAAATACTATTTATAGAGTACAATCTCGTTAGTGGTTTTTTGAAAATTAATAGCTTTTCATCTGAAACTTCAAATACTATTTATAGAGTGCTTAAAATGAAATCGTGTTAATGGTGTTCTGACAATTAATAGCTTTTCTACATTGTTTTAAATTATGTTCAAATTATATTGTATATGATTAGTTAATGTAATTTTTTTAATTTTAATACATTTTAGGATTTATGTTCGTTAACATTGTGATTTTTCTTTACAATCTTTGGTGTTAAATAGTTTTATAAACATATATATTTTTCATCATATATAGCTAACTGCACAATTGTGAACCTACAACATATTTTTATTTATTAAATCTTGATTTATGTTACAAATTTTTCTATTATGTATCTACTTAATGGTGAACCTACCTCCACTTTCATTTTGCCTCTCAATTTTGGAGGTTTATACTTTGATGTGTATTTTACCATTTCTATGTTTTAATCATTTTATATATGCTTAATTATATTAATTGGTTATTTTATCTTCATATTTTTCCTTATTATTGTAAAAGACTTGTTTATGGTTGATATAACATTACTTTTTTTTAGTTACATGTGTGTATATAAAAAATATAACCCAGTGTAGATAATTTTCAAGAAAATTCAATCTAATTCAGTTAATAGTCTTTCTTTAAAGAAACGAAATTTAACCATACATTGCCTTAAAATCAATTATAAATGAATGACAAACCCGATATATAATTTGTCAAAGCATTTATATCGTTACCACTTACCAACCTAAGAAAATATTTAATTTGAATTTTAAATATTAATCTTATATTCAAATATTAAATCAGTTTCTTACTTATTTTTGATTTTTCTTCTTCAATATTTTGGATTTGAAAGATCTAATTAAAAAATGGTTAAAGATTTATATTTTGAATCACTTATGTCACTATTATTAAATTCTTAAATGGATTCAAAAATTAATAAATTTCACCAATAAAGGACAAAAATATAAAGGTTATAGTGATTTCAAAATCTTGATTTAAATAATCTTATCGTTTTAACAAAATTTTATGGCTAAAACTAATTTTCTTTTCCATTTAATGATCAAAGATAAGGTCAAACTGCACTAACCGGAAAATATTGATTAACTTCTTACATTTTTTAAGAGTCCAAACCCAACTTTAAGAGGCCCAAACTAACAAAAACCCACAAAACATTACAATATCCTACAGTCTTCTTCAGTAACCCTAAACAAATCTGAAATATCTTTCTATTGAAACCAAATAAAAAAAAGTCTCATGTAAGACACGAAACTCATCAAAAGATCACCTAGAAACTCATCAACAAAAAATTTCTAATGTAAGACACGAAAGACGATGCAATATCTTTTCCCAGTCAAAAAAAGAAGAAGATATTCTTTTTAATGTATCTTCGACTTCAGTTCCTCCTTTCCCTATTCAAACTAATTTTTTTTGTTGATGAGTTTCTACCACTTGCTGCAACGAACTTTTTATTTTATTTTATTGCTCGTCTTTCGTGTCCATCTTAACTTATCTATCGGCCTTTTTGAAATCATTGTGAAGGTGTCAAATTACAATTTCATCTATTTGTTGGTATTGCTTTGTCTGTATTCTTTGATTGAATTTGTTTTGTTTTGCGGCAGCTACATAACTTGAATTGTACGTTTAAGGGAGATCCGGTAACATCCTTGGTAGCCGGTTCCGTGGTTTATCACCTCTGTCAAGAAATGGAGTACATGGGAAGGGCCATATGTGCGGGTATGGATCAAGCTAATGAGGAAGATCAGAGAAGGAAGATATGCGGCTCAGTTTTTAGGTGTCTTGGCATTACTTACTACACAGGAGCGTGGGGTTTTGGAAATGGAAGAGAGTCGAGAGTTTATGAGACATTTGTTCAGTATCTTGAGGGGAAGGAGTTGCTTAAGGTCTTGCGAGAACGGTGTAGTGATCGTCCTTAACATGTGCAACCTGGCCAAGCCTCGCCATACATGTTGTCATTCCCGTTATTGCTATAGTGAAAACAGCCTTTTGTTAGAAAGACCGTTCCATCTCTTCTCCTCCTGCCGATTCCATCTCCTTCTGCTGTTCTTGGGATCATTTTACACGTTATAATCCATGTCAGGACATGAGTTGAACCACAAGATTTTAGCCTTTGAATCAGAAGATGTACCTGGATGATTCAACATTGTTGAGCACAGAACCAGAGCATTTGGTTTGATGGCTATATGTTTCTTGCAATCTAACATAGCTGTTGCATTGATAACAGAGTTCCGTGCGGTTGCCACATACTTCCTGATTTCATGAAACAGGAGAGAATCAGATAAGCCATTCATCATAGAGAAAAGGAGAGAGATCTGTGAGAGTTAAAAGTGAAATACCTGATGCTCAGCAAGATCAACTGCAGGAAAAGGAAACTCACAGGAACTCGCACGTTACAATCCTCTTGGGGCAAATTTCTCCTTTGTGATTATCAAAAACCTCACGGTCTATGGTTTCTTTGCACATCGAGCAGGGTACCTTCTAAATGCAGTTCAAGAGGAATGTCACAGAGATATGATTTAGAGCACAACTCAATTTCAGAAAATTAGTCATCGCTTTAGAGAATCTATGAATAAAGATATCATGATTTTCCAGGCATAGTTTCAACAAACCAGAAATCAAATAAACTAAGATTAGAATCAGAGTCCAGGAAAACATAACCATTAGGAACATTTGTGAAGGACATTAAAGAAACCGCTGGTAATTTCCTATGGATTTTTTTAAAAAAAATTCAAGAGGAGACATGAATCTCACCAGGCTTGGATAGGCAATGAACGGGAAGACAACGATCAATTGTATACAAAGAGTAATATACTTCATTAACCAAAAAAAACATCCATTGTTCATGAATCATTGATTTCGTCGTGTATGCAAACCTTGTGCTACAAATATTCTGACCCTAAAGCACAAAGGAGAAGGATAAGACCAAACTGAGCTACTGTTTCAACTTGTGCTACAAAATAAAATATAAATCAAGTCCTTACCAGCCATCTATATAACCAGACAACCTATCAGTCATCCTTAAAAAGGTAATATGGAGACAACAAAAGAGGAACTTTTATGAACTAAAGTATGTAAGCTACCTGAACCATTTCACTGACAAAGCTTAACCCACCAGGTACAATGACAGATCCAGACAATAGATACCCAGTAATGACCTACCATATAAGTAGTGTGAAAGTGAAGTAATGTTGTCACAGCTTGATCATTGGAGTGCCATTTCTAAGCTCTTGGAAAGAAAAAAATGCAAATGCCAACGGAAACAAAATAAGATAAGAACCACTACTTACCCAAATCGACTCCAAACAGGGTAGAGGATGCAAAAATCATAATAAAGACCCAAACTTTTCCTATTTGGTCAGTCTCATATTTCTTGAGCTTAGCTTGAGCGATAGACTACAGAACAACCTAGTGATCATAACAAAAAAAAAAGAAACATATCATCAATGCACTATGTAAAAGTAATATGACCACAATTGAATCAACTAAAACAAAACAGCTGAAACTTTTGACGAATATGTAAATTGGGAGACGGGAGTAGACGTGAAACAACAGGGGGTAAGGGTTTGCTCTGGAATTAAAAGAGCAATAAACGCCACATTCTGTGATGCAATTCAGATAGTACATCAGTTGGAATCATAACATATTTCTCTTTGTATGCAGATGATAGTGCAGGCCTAAAAAAAAAACAGACGTCAATTTTACAAATAATAATATGAACTTACAGATGATCAACGAAGGAAGGTGGGAGTGTCTGTCGAAGGATGCCACTCTTCTTGGAATCCAAACAGCAAGAATCTACAGTACCGTGTTTTCGCAACAAACCCGTTGATAACAGAACCTGCAGGCTCTACATCACCGTCGTGATTCACAATATGTTCCTCTAAAACTCGATTTCGTTTCTGCAAGATTTCGAATCTTTAATCCCTAACTTCTCTTCAAAGAACGTTCTCAGATCAAGTTCGTTAGGTATCTCTCCGTTTCCGAATCCGTTAAGGAAGTTATAGAACGTGACACGTAACGACTTGTAGCTATCGATGTACAGTCTCTTTAAACTAAAAGATGAAATTTTGAGTTCATGGGCATTACTATTATAGAGAGAACACAACAAACGTAGAATCAAGAGATAAGATTTTACCCAGTAGAGATCGGGAAAGTAGTCAAAGAGATCGAGTTTTTAGAGAGTCTGTTTTTAGAAGCGACTGACCGGAATGGGAAGAGTCCTCAAGCAAGCCAAAGGAAATCCACATAGAAGAAAGATGATGAGACAGTTAATTTTTTGTAGATTTAAAAAAAGAGGAGGGGATTCCATACCATTGACAGAGCCGATAGTGGAGATGGAGAGACATGCGTAGAGATCTCGTGAGGGCGGATAGACATGGAGCAGAGATCTGAAGGAAGAGATAAACAGACGTGGAGAGTGAGAGAGAGAGAGTCGCAAAAGAGTAGAGACACAGTGAAAAATATGTGGAGAGGAGGTATCACCGTTCTTGGTTTGTGCACGAAGAAGAGATGCAGAGGAGGAGAGGAGGCGTCGAAGATGGAAAGCTGCAAAAAATAAAAGAATAAACTTATTTCATGCCCAAAACCCAGACCCACTCGATAGACATCCAGTTTGACATGGCAAAACAGAACAATCCTATTGGTGGATTAAACTGGGTGACGTGGATAGCCTCATAGGGCTTTATTATCAACTTTTAATCATAGTAGATATTTCAAAATATTAGTTTAGAAATATTTGGAAAAGAAGAGATGAAAGATACTAGAATCATAATTCCGTGGATTCTATGCGAAACCAATGTTTCAACGTTCGTCTCGCATTGATCTCTTCGGAATTTTGATCCGAGTACCTTTTTCTAATCTTTTTCAAATCTTTCCACACTATATCTAAAATATTTTAAATTTTTTGTTTGTCTTTTGGGAGAAAACGATGGTTCTTTTATAGGGGATATTACGACTACTTAGCTTCTAACCTTTACGACTAATTAGCATCTGGAACCACCCTTTAGTCGTAACCGAGTCGTACATTACGACCAATTAGCTTCAACCTACCATTAAAAGCTTTGACCGAAATCCTCAACATGTGTAGTCATACACTAGTCGTAATTTAACGACTAGAGTATGTCTACAAGGACTTGTAGTCGTACATTAGTCGTTATGTTACGACTAATTGACGTCAACTGATATTGGTAGCAATTTAACCTCCGAGTTACGACTAATTATTTTTTAGACGTAAAATAGTCGTAATGGCGATTTAAAATTACGACTACACGTATGTAGTCGTAATTCGTAGTCGCTATGACCACGTTCTCTTGTAGAGAATTTTGGTGGAGTAGTAGGGATAAAAAAAGGAAGATCCCATGGATTTCTTGGGAAAAGCTATGTAAAGCAAAAGAACAGAAGGGTCTTAGGTTTCACGACATTGGTCATTTCAATCAAGCATCGCTCGGAAAACAAGCTTGGCGGATATGGAATAATCCTGATTATTTGGTCTCTCGGTTTCTTAAAGGTAAATATTTCAAGAATGGAAATTTTCTTGAATGCGGAATGGGAACACGTCCGTCGTACGCATGGAGAAGTATTATGCATGGTAGAGAATTACTTAAAAAGGGTTTGTATCGTCATATTGCCAATGGGGCTGATACGAATGTGTGCGCGGAAAACTGGATTATTGGCACCATTCCTAGGCCGGCAATGTACCGTGAGAATAGCTCAATTGATTTAACATTAAAAGTGTTGGATTTACTATTACAGGGGTCCTCACAATGGAATATTAATTTGTTGCGCTAGACTTTCACGCCACAAGATGTTCAAAGGATTTTGCTGTTGAAACCATCTTTGGTACTTAACGATTCGATCAAATGGGGATACACACCAAGCGGAACATATTCGACTCGCAGCGGGTACAAATTGTTGGAAGACTTAATTAGTTTTGATAAACCTCAAGGACCCTCCTTATCTCCAATTGAAAAGCAAGTATGGAGATATTTGTGGAAAACCAAAGCCCCACCAAAAATAAAACATTTTATGTGGCGTGCTCTATATGGTGCATTAGCCGTCAAGCAACGTTTGAACACTCGGGGTATTCCGGTTGACCCAACATGCTCTGTTTGTGGTAATGATACTGAGAGTATATGTCATGTTCTTTTTACATGTGTTAAAGCTCGGGCCACATGGGAACATGCTAATTTCCCAGTTCCTTTAGGAGGGTTCTCCCGGAATTCTACCTTTCTAAATTTTGTGCATCTGATCAAAACTGGTAAAAGCTCATCCACGGATGTACATATAAGAAAAGTTTTTCCATGGCTGTTGTGGAAAATTTGGAAAGTTAGGAACGTTTTTATTTTTAAAAACAAGGTTCTGGAACCCTCCTTTATCGCCAAAAAGGCCGATCAAGAATAATCTACTTGGTGTGATACATTAACAAGCAAGGTAGATGGAGCTGGGGAGTGAATCAAAAGAGATAAGATGGATACATCCTCCCAATGGTTCCCTCAAATGTAATGTGGGTTCCTCATGGGTAAACTCAAATCAACTAAGTGGTGCTTCATGGATTGTTCGGGATGCAACTGGACATACAATCATCCATAGTCGTCGTACCTATTCTTGTATGCGCACAAAGACAGAGGCAGACTTATGGGCACTTTTTTGGGCGGTGGAATGTCTATATAACTTACATTTCTCAAATGTTATCTTTGAGACATCGTCGGAGTGCCTACCGGAGTTCCTCACAAAGCCGGAAGATCACACTAACCTCAGCCATCTCCGACACGTTATATCTTTTCTTCTTGCAAGGATAGACTCTTGGAGCCTCGATCACAAACTTCCGGAAAGAAATGAAGCTGTATCAGCAATTGCTGTTAGTGTCACCCGAGATAGGCGCCCCCAATCATACATCGTCCGAGATGCACCGGCTTGGATTCAGCATCTACTCACTTTGGAAGCTCAACAATAATGGTAGTTGGTGAGATTTTTTCTTTTTTCCTTCTCTGTGCGGTGTCTATTGACATCTTAATTAATTTTTTGTTTCTTGATTTGTATCACAACGATTATTTCTACATGTAAAAGTGTTAAAAAAAATTAGAGACATTTATGCATCAAGTAGATTTCTACACTGCTCACGTAGGAAAGCAGTAAGATGTTATGTCCTTGTCGAAAATGCAACAATACAAAATTAGGCGCTCTTAAAAATGTTTGGAAGCATTTAATAAGTAGAGGTTTCATGCCACATTACTATATTTGGTATCAACTTGGAGAACATTATAGTTATAGGTTTGAAGCTAGCAGTATTAATAGCAATTTTCAGGATGAACCGGCCGTTGATCATTTGCATAATGAAAATAGTTATCACCAGGAGGAACAGATGGTAGATTGTGATAAGGTTCATGATATGGTAGGTGATGCATTTGTAACTCAAGATGATGAAGTTGAATAACCTAACTTAGATGCAAAAAAGTTTTATGAAA